ATAAAATTCTTCTGAATTTATTTATTTAACACTCGAGCTTTCGATCCAAACTTAGATCATTTTCAAGAGTCTTTACTCAATCTTGAAAATTAACTGAGAAAAACGTGAAATACAAAACTTAAAAAAAATATCTAGTGATGTATCGTGTTAGCTAGCTATATCGCGCGATAGTCAACATTATTTTTCTGCTTGGATTTCGCAGTCAGAGCTTGTTTTAATTTACAGCTCCACTCGGTTCCACCGGGTTCCACTCGGCTCCACTGGGTTCCACTCCGCTCCACTCCGATCCACTGAGTTCCACTTAGCTCCATTGGGTTCCACTCGGCTCCATTGGGTTCCACTCGGCTCCACTCGGTTCCGCCCGGTTCCATTGGGTTCCCGGTGGCACCTGGTGGTATGTGGAGCTGCTTTTTCCCCCTTGATTTTACGCCAATACAAAATGTAATCTTCGACCGTACTGTCGCATTAACGGAGCTGCTAGATTAACAATGCTGACAACAAATCAATTAAGAACTCAAAGTCAATTGTCCGGTACCCGATAGTTTCACCACTGTTAGCACTTGATGATATAACAGGATTACTAGTAGGATATATAGCACAGATAACAATTTCAGTACTGTAACATAAAGTGATGATAATAACATTACTACAGTTGACAATCCATTGGATCCTCAATAGGTCGATCGTATTATTCGAAAAAATAAAGCATCTTCAATAATGAATATAAGTCATCTGTAAAGACTATTTTCGAATTGCTAAATAACAATTACACGAAAGGGAAACGAAAGTATCTCGATTGATGCTCTTTAATCGGTAAGGACGTGCGCTACAGTAGAGGTTAGAACGGTTTATGAGAAAGCACATATAACTGTTTATACAATTTTATAAAAAAAAGATCTTAATTATGCTACTTCGTCATCAGAAGAAACTCTTCTTTATTTATTAAATTTTCAAAATAAATTGTAATCATTATCAAAACAAGAATGGAATCAATAAAATTGAGTTCAGTTGTAAAAAAAATTATATTAAAATTTCATAGTGCAGCTTCTGAGCACGAAATGTACACAGGTTAAAAATATCCTGCGCGACTCCAAATCACTATACAACAAAAACAATGCAGGCGTCCTTATGGGTTAAACGCCGAACCAGGCTCATTTTCACTTATTATACTGCATGGTAGCATCAATTTTGATGTTGAAAAGTACCTTTCAAGGAAAATCTATGAAGAACAGTACAATTTTAACTTTTCTTTTCTTAAATGATTGTAAGCCAAATCGATTATTTCTCAATAAAAACTTGGACAGTAATATTTTTGATCCCGGAAAAATGACATAATTGAGTCCGTATATTAAAATTTTAATAAAAAAAGCATAAGAGAACTCAGTACTTTGAAGAAAAGCATTTTCGACACTATCGCGGTATAAACTAATACTTTTTATTTATCATACACAATTGATCTCGGAATGCTTATTTTTTTGACGTACGTGAACAATTTAATAGTCATGCTGAATTTAGCCAATCTTATAATTCTTCATATGTTGTCCAATTCAGCTGCATACACCCTGGAAGTTTGTAAAAAGTGCTAACTGGTCGTCGTTAGTGCACGTAGAAACTTCTAACCACATTTTAACTGACATACTTCTTTTTATAAAAAGTGACAATGAAAAGTGGAAAAAAGGAACAATGAAACTTTTCTTTTATTAAAATTTGAATATACGGGCTCAATTACGCCATTTTTCCGGGATTATTTGTTATTTGAACTTTACATACAGAAAGTTTTTAGGCTCTTCTACGGGAATAATAGCTAAACACTTTCGTTCGTTTACTTTTTGTTTTGGACATTTTTAAGTAGACGGAAGCTAACCAAAACGTTTTATTCTCTCCTCTCAGCTTGTTTTTACTTTAAACCTACGAGTGTGACATGAAAAAATAGTTAAGAAAAATAGTTTATTCGTATCAAAAAGAAAATAATAAAAAAGTGTTCTACTTCTTACGTATTTACAGTTGACATTCATGATCATAGTCAACAAATATTAGTTCATCAAATTCTTTTATTTCATCTATTGTGAACCCACACCCATCTAGGGAACGAAACTGTTCATTTAGTCTATTTAATTTTTCTTCGCCTAATTGTTTGTATACGTCGTATAATTGAGCTAAAGTTCTATGATGATGAAAATAGTCTAAACATTCATAATCAGTGCTAGGCCATCTATTATCCAACTCACAAATATTTATCAAATACATTGGACAACGACCACGAACTGTTTGCCAGTCATAATTATGTCCGTCCATATCGCTATCATCCGGCTCTTGTCCACAAAAATAACACCAATAACCCTGACATTTTTGACACGACATATGCATGCACGCGTCATTTTTCATCCCGGACAACCCACACGATGGACACTGTTGCCTTGATCCCTTTTCAATTGCTTGATCAATCAGTTTCTTCTCATCTTTTAATTCAAAACATTTTAAATGCTCTGCAATATCATCCGTGCTACATTCGTGTAAACATACTAAACACGATGTTTTCCTGCAATTTTCATGTTTACAAGTGAGAAAAAATGGTTCATTATCACCCGTAAGGTCGTAATGGATTTCAATATAAGTACAAAACGGACAATGAACTAGACATTCATTTTCATTCAAACATTCATCTTTCGACCATATCAGAGTTAACATCATTGACTGATATTGATCTTGTTGCCGAGATTCTAATATATTTTCGATTATAGTATCATCAATCAGCGTAAAACATGTGGTGCATTTTAAAGGCAAATGAAAATGAGGTTCCGAAAATACTAATCGTAAAAGATTTTGAGTACAGGTCCTACAATAGAAATGTTTTTGTGAGCAATAAAGATATTTTGACTGCTGATCATTTTCTATTTCTCCAGAACAAGTGACACAAGTGATTTTCTCTGACACTGGCGTAGCTGGAGCAACATTAGTTGTTTGAGGTTGTGGTTCTTGCTGTTCGTTACCATCAGACATAAGAGCAATTGTTTCTTGCTCTTGCTGCTGTGTTGCAGTTTCGATAGTAGCAGTGGCAACAACTGGTTCCTGTGGGTCCGTTTGAAGAGCAATATCTGCTAGTGCAATAGCAACGGCTGGAAAATGTTGTCGGAGAATGTCAGGAGTGACTGTCACTGCTGGTGGTGGCGACAACGGTTCTTGTAATGGAATTTCTAACGAAGTCATTGTATCTGCCAACGAAACAACATTGAATTAGCATTATTCAGTAGCACTAACAATTTCTTCTTATATGAATCAGAACATTATCTTTCTTAGCATACAAAAAACTCGGATTGCGCTCAGTGACTATGATTTGATCTTTTATTCCTTTTCAGAGTATTAGTTATGACTGCAGTGAAGCACGTAAAATGTGTTTTTCGTTACTAACCTGTTTGTAAATATTGAAGGAAGTCTTCGAGAATATGCATTATATATGCACAAAAAGTTGAGTCACGCAATATTTCATCATACTCACATTGAAAAACTTCTTTGGTTTTGTTGCAGTTTGTTTGCACACAGCTAAATGTGATTCAGTCCACTTAAATTAAAATTCCCTTCTAAGATGATGATGTAATATTACTTCACTAGTTGCATACACAAAGCGTCACTCGTGTGAGATAAAACCCAGTGCTGCTGCACTCACCTATACATAGACATTATAGCTTTTTGATCTCTTGTAGGTATTGCGTAAGAACATGTAAGAATGAGGTCATACACCAAAAAAGGTCGTACTGCTGTACTGAAATATATTCAACGAGAAGAAGAAAAGAAAGAATCGTACAAGGACGTACATTAAAAATGTCGATATGTTAACCACACATCTATCCGTAGCTTTCAACCCAAAATAACAGTCTTCATTATGTGCTGAAATTATTCATCTGAAAGAATCATCTCGTTTTCACATTGGTCATCAGTGGTAGTGTTTTCTTATAGCAGAAACGTAAAAACAACCACAGAACAGGAAAAAAAGCAACTATTCAGCTTTATAATAACATTATGTCAAGCTACGTCAAATTCCTTAAAAGGATATAAAAAGTGTCAACATGCAAACTTTTCTTTAATTACACCATGCTAAGCACATGCAGAGAGTTGTATCTACTGATATAAATCTATCGCCAGGGTTGTCAAATAAGTTAACCCGAGAAGAACTTTACATAAAAGATGAATAATACTGTAGTCAAAACTGTCAATTTAAAAACGCTTACCAGCGCAGACATTCGGTCTAAAGTGCAACTTCTCTATTCTAACGTAATGCACTAACGAGGGAACGACCCCAAGTGCCCCCGACCTTTTTCGTCAAAACACACATAGACATAGGTTATTGATAATGCTAATTCCGAATATAGTAGTGGCTTGGGCATATAGGGCTTTGGAATCTCAGTTTTCCTGGTTCTTCAGCTCAAATCAGACTTTTCACCCGCAATAGACTTCGATCTAGATCTGATTTGAATATGCCAATTTGTAGAGCATGACGAGTTACCTATATAAACAAATTTTCATCACGAACAGACGATTTCTAAACAAACTAAAAAATTTCCAAGTTCTGCTGTGAAAGTGAAGAAAATCTGTGCTGAAACTTTTGAAAATTTTTTAGTTCGTTTAGAAATCGTCTGTTCGTGATGAAAATTTGTTTATATAGGTAGCTCGTCATGCTCTACAAATTGGCATATTCAAATCTAGATCGAAAATCATTGCGGATGAAAAAGTCGGGTTTGAGCTGAAAAACCAGGTTTTTTTCGAAAACTGAGATTCCAAAGCCCTATATGCCCAAACCACTACTATATTCGAAATTAGCATCATCAATAACCTATGTCTATGTGTGTTTTGACGAAAAAGCTCTGGGACACTTAGGGTCGTTCCCTCGTAAGGTGGGTATGCATGAAACATATTTACACTTGTATATATTTATGTGCGCATACGTATACTTGCTCATTCCATTATTTCATTCGTAACATCGAAAGTTACTCAGCATGAGATCGTGAAAGGTACGACAAAACAAAATAAAACAATTAAATAAAAACAAACGGTACGAGAAAACAGTATCAAGTACACGTGTCAGTCTTCTGATCAATTAACAAGGACGAATAAGACGATATTCGATTGAGATGATATGCGAAAGTTAGATATGCACCTATTTCAACTCTTTTTCAATCAACAATAGAGCACTAGCAAATACGGAGATATCTCTTCTCGCACATGCACTATGTTCGTAAACGAATGTGTCAAATGTTTGTTTCTTTCTGTTCTCTTGCTCTCTTTCACTGTGTGAAGAACGTGGATAAA